TGTACAAAATGCATACAAAGCATGTCCCTGCAATTCACCCATTTGCCACTTGTTTAATATTTATGAAAGCTGATTACAAAACACACATTTATCACTTAAGTCTTTAGCCAAGTTTTAAATGACTCAAACGTTTATGCTAAGCAGACAAGCAGCTTTCTGTGGCTTTCTTTCTCAGAAGCTTCAATCCCATTCAAAGGCAGGTACGTCAGAGACTCAGCTGACCCCACAGACTTTTTATACATTTAAACTGCAATCTGACCAGAAAGCTATTTTTGTTCTTCTTACGAGGTACTTATTTCAGATGTTAATTGCTGGTGTGTGTGTACCCGTGGGTGCCTCATAGAGTGCGGGGACAGAGGATGAAAACACATCTTGGAGATTCTGATTTAGGAGCACAGCGGAAATGCTGTCCACACTGCCAATGGTGGAAAGGAGAACAGGTTTCTTCCCTGTAGTGGAAGTGGGAAAGGCTTCAAGTTAAATGATGAATGTCTCCTGCTTCCTAGTGCCCTGAATATCGACGCCTCTAGTTCATCTGCAGATGAAGATTAATTTATAATTTCCATGCAACAGCCATGTTTACTGCTCCAGTGCACAGTCATCTCTGCTGGCTTAGTGTTGATAGAAACTGAAAAATAGAAGCTAAAAAATGTCTGTATCACTTAGTCCCCAACAGGGAGAGGAACAAGGGAGAGAGGCACAGGCAGGCGCCCAAGCTGGAAGGGCCACTGGGAGGAACTGTCACCAGAATCCGGAAAGAACAGCTAATTGGGAGACGGTGGTACTAATAAAGCCCGTGAAAGTCCATCTCCTCAGCACACAGGCAGGTAGAAAGAGCAGGGAAGGTACCCGAAGGCAGACAGAACATGCCCGGCACAGGCTCAAGTGCAGCAAAGTTTCAACAACAAAGTAATAACTAACCTTATGAGACAGGCATATAACAAAATCTAAGGCTTTTAGAAGGAAGATCTGAATCCAGATCTTACTGATGTCACTGTAAGATGCCACAACATGCAGCAATTAGGTAAGAAAAGGAAACTATAAATTGGTAAATATAGTAAGACCTCAAATTTGGCTAGAAATCAAATGTTAACAGAGATTAACTGTGTGTAGAGAGATGGAGGTGATTTTTCCTTTTCTTATCTATACATTTTGAAGGTTATATTTATGTACAGTTTCTCAGTTTAATCTATATTGTGCATCAGGGACCATTAAGAAAACAAATAGTACTTTGACTTGAGAGCACAGAAAATAGCTACTGAAACCTGGATTTAGATATGTTCTTAGGCTGAGCGCTTTAAAAAGCAAACTCTATCACCTCTTTGTTACCAAAAATAGAACAGAAAACAGGGAGAATTTAAGTGTTACTAGTAGATACGATCTCAGAGGTTTAACCAACTAAGCTAAGTTTCAGCAGTCCTCCTGTCTGCGGTAATCAACAAGGGCCCCATTCACCGTCTGTGAGGAGCAGATGACTCCCAAATCTATCAGCTCCATGTGCTCCCCAGCAACATAACATCATCCCAACCAACCAGCCGATCAGTAGCCACTGCTGGCCATGATTAGAAGAATGCATTTGAATTATAAACAGTAGAGAGGGCTGTGGATTTCTTTGCAACGTCTCCTCTCAGGGAGTAAGGCAGAAAGGCTCATTAATTTCTCAGAGAACAATGGGGGGCACCAACCCTTCTTTCCCAGGCAAGCATCTCTTCCTTCTTTGGGGTGGGGCAGAGTTGCACAGGAGGTCACGGGTGGAGGGGCTTAAATACCACTGCTTCCCAGTTACTCCGCCACCACCAGGCCACCCCCCAAAAGCTCTACCTTTCTTGAGGTGTGAGGCACTCCAGGTTTCAGCTCCTTTTCTCCTACTCTCCAGGCACATTAATATTAATATTTACCATCTATAGAACCTTATCCATATTAGGAACTGTGCGAGGTACTTAAACATGTGTCTGGCTGGAAAAACAACACTGAAACACAGATGGGACTGCCCGTTTCACGAGTGAGGTTATAACAACACTGAGGCTTCCTGAGGTCACCCATGCTTCAAAGTAGAGGAGATGGTGGAGTTGAGGCTCAATGTTGGATCTGCTGACTCCAGAGTCTGAGAGCATTAGCCCTATCTACTATCCCGTGCTGCCTCAGGCACAACTAGCTCTGTGCGGAGATCACAGCTACCTGGGCCTCCAGGACCCTCCTCTCCCTCCCAGGCCCCACAGGGACCAGCTGAGCTGGACCCAAGATCCTTCAGAGCAGCCTTCCCTACCTCCTGGGGATTTAATGACGACAATATAAATATCATCAGGCATAAGATAAGGGAAAGCAGGCACTGGTCACAAGCAGGGTGGGGCAGCCATTAACTAATGTCCTGCTCTAGAAAAGTCTGCCAAGCCCTGGGTTTAGGGCCAAGGTCTGGGAAACACTTCTGAAGTTTCTCCTTAGATAGAGATGTCTACAAAAACTGAGTATAATGACTCAGAAGCAATGTTGAAGGGCCATACATGTTTACTATACAAGTAAAGCCCCATCTCTGATTTCTTTCCAATAAAATCTCAGTTGCCTTTAGGTTTTTCAAATTTAAAGTGGAACAGCGCTTCTAGGTGTTCAGCCACACTGTAGCCCTGGATGCCAGCCCTCAAACAGCCCCTGGGTTCACTGTACCCAATACAATCTCTACCTGCAAGGGAAATAGCATAAGAACCTCCTGTCATTGAGAGGTCAAGCAACAACCAGTTCTTTGGAACGCAAACAGTCAAACCTCAACTAAGCCAGGCTGTGCCCTGGTGATTTCACACTTCTCCTCCATGGAACTGTGTGAGGTACTTAAACATACGTTTAACGAAATGGTGGAATCCATAAGACTCCCTGACAACGATGCCTGTTAACGGGGCATTAATATCCTGTGCAGAACAGTCTACCCTGACCCCTGGGTGGAGGGTATGCTCAGGAGATGAGCCATAAAGACGAGCTACCTCCTTAGAGAGGTAAAGCTATCTTTCAGCACATTTGAGTATTTGAGATACTGCCTTGATACCAAGTCAAATACTCTTCAGTCTCACGTTCAAGACACTCCAACTGGGCCTCCCTGGTGGCGCAGCAGTTGAACGCTGGGTTGCAAAGCTGCCCACGGCCTCTGCAGCGCCAGTTCAATCCCCAGCTGCTCTCTGGCCACAGGAGGAGGGTCCCACATGGCGCACAGACGTCTCCTGCCGCCCGCTGCTCCCCTCAGCAGTGTACCTTGGTCCTTCTGCCTGCTCTGCTCCCTGCTCTGGCTCTGGTGAATTCTCTCACCCTCCTGCGCTTCTGTACCCAGTGCTTGTATAAATAAATAAATAAAAATAAATCTTAAAATAAATAAATTAAGAAAAAAAAAAAGACGCGCCGACTATCTGGTCCCACTCTCACTACTACCTTTATTTCTTCTTGGCTATGCAAACTGCACAAAATGACATAAACATTCCCAACTCCAAGCCCTCAACATGCTGTTCTCTCCACTTTCAATGCCCCTTCTACATCACACTAGTTTCAATCTGGCTCTAATGATGAGAACGCTTGGTGCATGAGTTTCACGTCAAATTCCACTCCTCTGTGATCTTTCTGGAAACCCTCGCTACCCTCTCCTACCTCCACCTACCCCATTCCCACTGATGCTTTTTTCTGTTGACTGCTCTAGTCATTCAGAGAACACTACACTTCTCATCTTAAATGGCCTTACCCTTTAACTAACTGACTGCAAGTTAGTAAAGCTCTGTTTTGGAAAACAAAGGCAGAGCTCACCTTCCTACAAATACACATATTCTTGTGTGCAAGCTCTTCAGAGTCAGGTGCCCTCACCGACAGCGATTTTCCTCAAGAGGCCTGGCATCTAGCACAGGCCCACAAGTTTCAGTTTACTCAACAGTGAAAACCTGCTCTTGCACAGGAGTCCTCTGTCCCTGACTAAACAAAGTCCTAAACCTCATCCTAGCTGGAGATAAGAGTGCTAAAGGAATTGCCCCCGCCCTGTTCCCACACTGGAAATGGGATTAGCTCTGGTTTATATAACGCTGCAGCTGCAGTCTACCAGGGGCGTAGGGCATCCAGTCCACAGATTGTTCAAATGCACACGCCAGCTGCACTGTTCCCTCCTCTTGGAGAGCTAAATTCATCTCTTGAAAATGTTCCTGGGAGATAGACCCCCGTCCACTTCAAAGGCAGCTTTCTCCCAGCAAGAAGCTTTGAGGGGAGCACTTCAGCATTCCCCGGGTGCTTACCAATCCTCGAGAAACACATTCTTCTGACTAGTAAGACATGTCACAGGTCACTGAAAAATATTCGGGTAAATATTTCCAACTACTCTATAACAATGGTTATGAAAGAAACCTGGGCCTCGGACTCCACATGTTTTCTCAGCACCGATCGGATCTCTCTTTGTTTCCTGACCCACCTAACCCTCCACCTCACCAAGCCGGGAATCTGGGGTGGGTAGGATGCTTCTGCTGGGAGAGGCATCTGGTCATCAGAGGAACGCAGAAAGAATAATCAGGAGCAAGGAACAGAAAAACTCCCTCCTAGCCCCTTTCAGTGGCTTCTCCCAAAGCCCCTCCACCTTCTGGCTAAGCCTGCATCTTCACACTTCCCCCTGAAGGCTCGTGGCAAGGACGCCAGGCTCTTCTTAACCATCTCCAACATGAGCATGACTCTCTCAATGGAACCGATGGGATCCAAATATTTTCAAGCAGCATGTCATTTCTAGGAATTGCCTTTCCCTCAGTACTACACGGTGGGGCCTCCACCCTTCAGTTTAACTGTGACTGGACCTGTCCTCTGCTATCCAGACAGTGAGGTCCCCTGCCTGGCAACTTGGGACTTGAATCCCCTCACAGTTACAGAAACACCCTGTTCACAGCGTGAAGGAACCAGGGCAGCTCCGGCCCACATCCTGGTCCCAGGAGTCGGCACGCAGGGGAGCTGTGGGGGGCTGCGGCCAGCCCAGCTCCTGTGACGTCAGGAGGCCTTACCTCATCCCACTCTGAGGCGAAGGAGGGAGATTTCTCTAGCCTCTTCTTCCCGATGCTGCAGTTGGACAAGGACTCGCTCCGGCTCCCCATCGTAGCGTCCTCCGTGGGTGAGCAGGTCAGGAGATCAGAGTCAGACTTGGACAAGCTGCGGCTGAGTTTGAGTTCAGCTTTGGGTTTGTTGGTGGGAGGGGCTCGGCTTCTGGCCCCGCTCCGCTCTCCTTCCTCGGCACCACCAGGATGTGCAGATGCTGTGTGAGTCAAAGTTTCGGGGTGCGACTGGCTGTTGGTGGGGGGCAGGCCTGCTGGGTAGTCTACTCTCGTACTCTGGTCCAGGACACTGGGCAGGGAGGCTCCAGTAGTATGCAGACCCGGTTCCTCCAGCTGCATGCTGGCCTCGTGGCAGGCGCCCTGCCCAGCAGACCCTTCTGGATGGCTCTGGCCAGTGGCAGAGAGCAACTGGAAAGGGTCCTGCCCCACTTCACACACCGGGGAGGAGCCGTGGAGGAGACCTGAGAACTGCTCTGGGACCTGCCCGTCCTGCCCCTCCGCAGAGTCCTGGCTCCGGCTGCTGCTGTTCCGCCTGTGGTCTTGGAGTGGACGGAGAGACAGAGAAATAAAAAATTAAACGTGGCAAAATCAACAAAGTTCCAATGCAGTGAGCATTCCGCAGGGCAGAGGAATTCAAACACGGAGGCAAGGAGAGAGAAGCTGATGGGCTGGGGGAGAGGGCAGAGGGAGACAAGAAGAGAGAGGAAGGAAGAAAACAGTTTAGTATTGTTCTTAATGTTCAATTTGGACCCAAAGTCAGAGCATTTATGAAATTCCAAACACTGGTCTGATTAATGTTATCTGGCAGCATTCCCTGTTGTTAGATTTCTGTTAACATTAATGAGGATACCTTGCTATATAAGGTGAGAAGAAGTGCTAGCTATATCCTACAGAAAAGACTCAAGAGGAGAGAGTGAGTGAAAGCGAAGTAAAAGTGAGAGAGAAAGCGGTGCACGCCAGCTAGCAAGCATGAGCAAGCGAGACTCACTCCTGGAACATCTGATACATTTCCATAAAGGCCAAAGTGTTATTTAGAGCCACCCGCCCTCCCTTCCTCTGGCAAGCAGCAACAGAGGGGAAAAAAAGAAACGGAGGTCATGATCCACAACCTGCAACTTCTGGAATTCCTTAACTGAAATTGCAAAACAAAACAAAACAAAAAAAAACCCGGCAGAGGATTAACTGCTGCTTCCTTCCTCAGAGGGGGGCTATTCAGAGTTCCACACCTCATCCTTCCTTCCTCTGGGAGCACAGACTTTTTTGGGGGGGAGGGGGGATGCACTTCTCTGCTTCCAAAGCCTCCCAGCTGCTCTTATTTGTTTAAGTTTAACCTTAGTTGATCCACTGAAAACAAAATGGTCTTAATTTGTCAAGGCCAAGAGACATTTACAGTTCTCTTAAGACTTCCGAACATCCCAGTAATCTGACACGACGAGCTCATGAGGCCAACTACTATTGTATCCTCACCCAAGATATCAAATACCTCTGCCCTGAAGTAGCATAAATAACTGAGTAAATCAGAGTCCCACATCAGCATCACACTGGGACACCCCAGGGGCTTGCCCTGCATGAACTCAGACCCATTAGAGATTTCAACCCACATCATGGGGTAGATAACAACTCTGTGTCCAGTACTTGCTCACATTCCACAGCTAACATTCAACTTACTGTCTCTATAAGTGGAATCTATGGCACACACAGCAATAACTCCCTACCCTGCCAAAGCTCCCAAGAACTGTTCGTGAGAGCAGAGAATCTTAGAACCGAAGACTCAAATTCAACTCCTTTTTGTAGAAGAGCAATCTAAGGCCCTCAGACCTTTAGTGGTTTGTCCAAGGTGGTAGGGGCAAAGTCTTTAACTCAGGCTTCTGAATACCTGGCTCTGGTCCTGGCTGAGCCTCTTTCTAGCTGTGTGGCCTTGTCAGTGATCTCATCTTGCTGGACTCCAGTATCTAAAATAAGCGAGTTGGGCTGCATGGGCCTTAAAATTCCCTTTTATGTTATGATAGTAACGAGACTCCATCTCCACCATACTGTGACAGTAAACTGCCCTTCCCACTCCCGATGTGCGCCCTGCCTGGGTGCCTCTCCTAGGACCATCTGCGCAGCCCCCTCTAGACACCTTCATCAGCTTGCCTATAGCCACAAGGTCCCTTCCTAAAGTTTGGTTAACAACTGAACAGGTAGTTAGGTAAGGAGAGGTGCATTTTAAAAACACAACGCACGATGTCAGTGTCCCACAACACTGGTTTTTTTCCAAGACAGCCTTTAGGGAAATCCCAAACAAACAACTAGTCTTAAGCAAGCATGGCCCTCTGAGATCTCAGCAGGGCATGGCTCCATTCACCCCACCTCTCAAGAAGAGTGGTTCATTCTCCAGTGTCTGTTCAGTTTTTGGCAAGTCTGTCAGTGTTGCAGAGGGGGCAGCCAATTAGCTCCACTTTATGGTTCTGATTACTTGTCCACAGGAGCCCAGACATAAGAACTTTGGTATCTGTCTCCTCTACATTAACTGCTTCAGGATTTTCATAACCCTAACTCACAAATTCTAGAACTGAAAGGTAAGGTCCAGAGCACTGAACAAGCACTGAACAACTTGGATCATTTCTCCAGGTAAGGAGAAAATTCTGTGTATGTCAGAGTTACATACAGCTTAGCTCAGGCCCCAGGAAACCCTGACTTCAGGGCAGTGAATAGCAGTGAATACCACATATGACAACTGGCAGCCTAAACAAAGCTGCCCTGGGGCACTGCATGTGCAGACACAGAGTTGATGACACACACAACCATCTAATGGTGGTTTAGGCCAGTAGCACTCCCCAGCACAGACTGATGGGGACAGTCAACCAGGTTGTAAAATATGCCACCTTTAGGACTGTAGCTAATGACCAACTTCCTAAAGATCCTGGACCAAGGTGTAATGTCCCTCTAATTAAGTATGATTACAAAAAGGATTTTTGTAAGAGAAGCACAGGTTTCTATTTCTCTACATTAGTTTCTAGCTTCTTATTTGACAATCGGGGGTGGGAAATGAGTGGTGAGTTCAACAATAAAAGAAAAACACCATAGTCCAGAATTGGGAGCCAGCCTGGCTCATGCAGCCTGGGTGGACCTCAGAAGCAGGCTACAGAGAATGTTCTGAATGCTGCTGTGGGAGCTGACAATGAAGGCCCTGTCAAACAGCCACCCATTCATGCCAGCCATCAATGAAGAAAGAGAGACAGATGCCAAGAACGCAATACCAGACAGATGCCAGGGGGAAGGAAGTGGGCAGAAAGAAGGAATGGAAACTTATGGAAGAAGGAAATATGTGAGGAAGAATTATTTCTGAGGGTCATAATCACATTACAGAAACCAAAACCCACCAATATTTTATGGAATATAAGAAATCATAGAAAGGGACTCTTAAAATTACACAACTTATCCTGGCATGCCTAAGAAAGACACTCTGGTTTTTTAAAAGCATGCCAAGCTCTAACAACCTTAATAAGTTGGTGCTTTCTTTTTCCCATAAAAAAACTATACCTGTGGTTAAGCTAGATGGGCTGGCAAACCAACGGATGGGAACAGATCTACTCAACGGTCCCTTACTTCCACTTCCATAAAGTCAGGATAATATTAGGTCTCTTAGGAATGAGGTGTTAACAATATAATGTAATAATCCAGAGCCAGAACTTGAGCAAATTACTTAACTTCGCTGTGTGCAGTACTTCCATCTATAATTTTGGGATGATCTTAATAGTTATTTATTTCATAGGGTTGTTGTGAGAATTAAATTATATGTTTTCAGAACCATGCCTGACACATGCCAGATCTCGACAGAGGTAAACAATTGTTATTATTCTTTGCACAGGATCCATTACAACATACTCTGCTTGCAGATGAGAGCAACTACTCCTCTGTTCCTCACAGGTTGGTAACAAAGATCAAAGACAACGTACACCACAAGCACAAACATGCATTGCCTTCACCATCCTTACAACTCTCAAAAGCAGAAGGAACAGACAGAAGGTAATATGGTGAGAGGGCTGAGGTGGGAGATGGGAGAGGTCCAAGACCTGTCCTGTACCCACCATCCCATTGATTGCATGAACAAAAGGTCTCTCTTTTGGGGACACCCAGAAAATATAAAGAGGAAGATACCAAGTCTGTGCAATGGGCTTGCTAGCTATTGGGAGAGACAAGCATAACAGGAATAACTATAATCTAAGCAAACATTAATAGATACTTTAAGTATTAACCAGATGCACAGAGAAATGATGCACAGAAATAAAAGTGTGATTACTCTGAACCAAGCTGTTTCTCAGAAGAGGTAGCTTTGGAGTGGGCATTGAAAGAGAAGTAAGACCCTAGCAGGTATAAAGAGAAGAGGAAATGATCAGAAAAAGCAGAGACACGAATCTCACACCCAGGGACTCCTGACTCATGGAAGAGAACTCTCAGGCCCGAGGCCTTCCTTCAGATGGGAATTGTGTTACCAGAGCAGAACTACAGAGGTTTCCAACACCTCTCCTCACAACCTGCCCTTCTAAGAGAGAAACAAGGAGAAACAGGACACAGAGAGGGCTGTTTCCTATTCTTCCCATACATCAAGGCCAGCTGCTCTACGGAATAGGACACACCAGCATGCTAATTCCCAGTCCCTTCAACTTTCAATCTTTATTCATTCTGGGTGCTCATTTTCCTTTTACCTTGTGAGCTGTTGAAGCAAGGGGTCTTCTGGGCTGCATTTTAATTACTATGATGATCCATGGGGATCTCAAGGACTTTTGAATAATAGCAATTTAACATTTACACATTTTCAGTCATCCATGCCCATTTAAATTGGTGTTGAAGAACATGAGAAGTTGCTAAGGCAAATCAATTCTTAGACCCAAGAAGGCTGGGTAACCCCATTTTCCCAGGCTGTTCTGCTTCTTTTGATCTGCTAAGATCGGGAACCTCTAATGGACCTCCCTGGTGGCCTAGGAGTTAAGTCTCAATGCTATCACCACCACAGCCTGAGTTCAATCCTCGTCTAGGGAGCTAACCCACATGGCGCAGCAGACCTCTCCTGTCCAGCCTGCTGCTCCCCTCAGGAGTATATTTCAGTAGATCCACCTGTTCTGCTCCCCACTCTGTCTCTGGTGAATCCTCTCACCCCCTGCACCTCTGTCCCAAACCCCAATTCTTTTACGCAAAAATAAGTAATATCTGGTGAATCCTCTCATCCCTACCCCCTGCCCCACACCTCTGGCCTATCCCCAGTACTTCTATGTAAAACACCAAAAACAAATAATAAAAAAAAAAATAGACTGGGAACCTCTAATTGCCTAGTCACAGCGGTGAGGCAGAAACCATATGTGTCCAAGAGAACACCTGAGGATATGACTGCTTCTGGAAAGGCACCATGCTTTCCCCAAAAGGAAGGCACTGACTAGATTATACAGACATTTGCTGGAGCTAGTGATCTGGTAAGACAAAAAGATCAAGAGCCCATTCCGGCCAATGGCCACCAAAGAAGTAACACAAGATTGGATTGGGATTCAAGAGGCCCAAG